GACTCTTAGCCTAACCTACCTTAGAAGTTGTTATGAGGACAAAATTGAGAGAAGTAGGTATGTGTACATTGCCTTGGAGGAAAAAAGCAGGCTATACATGTAATAATAACTTCCCATGTGCTGCTGCCTTTTGTTCTATAGTTACCAGAAATGTTGCCATTATATACTGCAAAGCACTGCTGTGTAGGAGATTATATATGTGCTGTCCCAAAAGACCCCTGTAGACTTGTCCGTTTCACTGGATGTTACTCATATACTTGTCTAAGAAGGAACATCATGCAGGTTCATGATGAAAGAGAAGCTGCTGGATTTGAGCCTGCCTGAGGACTGGGTGTAAATGCTCTAAGCTCCTGAGCCAGCTGAGTGATAAAGGATAAGGGAACTTAACCACCCACAGTATCAGCAGACATAGATTTTCTTTTTACTTTTACTTTCTTCCTTGTGGGAGTGTCTGTAGCTCCACGATAAAATGCATGCCATGCATATAGAAAGTCCCAGGTTTTTCCATGAAAAAGAACACTTCATATGAGAGCCACCATCCGCCCAGATAGACAACTGTGGGGCAGATGGTCAAAATTTTCTAGCCTGGTGCGAAGCAGCTTCCTCTGATAACCCCTGCAGGAAATGTCATCCCCTGTCCAGCATACCTGCTCTTCGGCCTGCAGTGGCATGCACTGTTGTGGGAATCAGCTTAGCCTGGAGGCAGCCACCTTCTTGCCAGTAGCTGGTTTGTTCTGTGCCTCAGGGCTTGTTCCCTTGTGACATTTCTCCGCAGCACTAACCTTACCATGGTTGCCTTAGCTGAACATTTCCACTTCTGGCTCCTGTTCGTACAAAGCAGATGCCAAAGGAATGTCATTGACTCGAGGCGGTTTTGGGTTGCTGCAGGGAGGGAAGTTGCCGGTTCCTTTCTTGCCCCCGAAATGCAACTTTAGCATGATGCAGTCTTGAGTATTAAGAGACTAGCCTGTTAGCAGGTACACATTTATCTAACCTGTATTTGAATTTATGTCTCTACTGTGCTGTTCAAATCAGGTCTTACAGCACAATTTTATGCTTGCTTAAGGGATCAATACCCAAGTATTGGTACCATGGAATTGCAGCATCAGCAGTTTGGGATACACTCTTATGCCTGTTTCTACAGAAAAAGTCCTACAGTATTGGGAATTGTAGGGCTTTTTTCTGCCCGAGGAGTTCGCCCCTCAGTCTTCTGTTCTGCGGTCTTCACTTTTTCTACAATTGTTCTTTGACTCAGTACTCAGAACACTTTTTATTTAGGAGCCTGCTTCAGGAAGCTTTTCTGGTGCTATGCTGACATCTAGTGGGTGCATAATAAATTGTCTTAATAGTGCATGGAGAAAAGTTACCAAACTAGGTGGGATATGCAGGATAATAATGATCTGTTTCCTTCCCATCACAACTAATGACAACTCTGTGATAGAGAACTGTGTATGGGGAAAGGATTTTCTCACTAAGCCAAGTGGCTGCACTAGAAATGATTAAGGTAAAGGTTTCCCCATGACATTAAAGTCCAGTCATGTCTGACTCCTGGGGGTGGTGCTCATCTCCGTTTCCTAGCCGAGGGAGCCAGTGTTTGTCCACAGACAGTTTCCATGGTCAAGTGGCCAGCACAACTAAACACTGAGGTGCACGGAACGCTGCTACCTTCCCACCAAAGTGGTGCCTTTTTATCTACTTTCATTTGTATTCTTTCGAACTGCAAGGTTGGCAGGAGCTGGGACACGGAAGCTCACCCCATTGTGCAGATTCAAACCAGCAACTTTTTGATCAGCCAGCCCAGCACCACATCAGTTTAAACCACTGTGCCACCTGCATCCGTTCAGGAATGATTAGCTTGGATAAATTTTATTTTGCTGCTGCAGGTGAGGAACAGCAAATGTTTTCTGTTCCATAGATAGAATGTATCTATGCCATGGGTACATGGCAGTGTGGGAGACCTGCAGTGGAACCCATTTCCCTAGCACATGTACATGTGCAATACAAGCGCATTTGTTAGAAAAGTGTAATCTGTGAAGTAGCTCTTACTATTTCAAAAGGTCTTTTTTCCCACCAGGTGTCATTACAGAAGTGTAAAAGGAACTTTGTTAAAGCATGATGAATTACTGCTAACCCTCTCTGGCTTTAAAAATGCAAATGTGGACTTTAAACACAAGGTTTATATTGTGTAAGTTGGTCTTCATGAGAGAGCAGAAGACCTGCTAATCAGTAATCCTTGCTGCTAAGAAGCAGGAATCCACGCTTCACAGGAAATTCAGGCATCCTACACAGCTGTTATGATGACCCAGTGGAGGTTGTTATGGCGATAATGCACTGGCCTAGTTTATCTGCCAGGATCACCTCTAATATGGTTTTATCCCAACTGATCCTAAAGACTTTTTTCTGACCAGATTGCATCTTGGGCTGAATTATCATGGTCTTGGAGGTACCTGATTAGTTTTTCAAAACTGAAAGATAGGGTAGTTTTTACACTACAGACCCATTAGTATAAGCTCCTGATTTACATAGTTTCTTATTACAATTTTTATTCTGGACTCTGCTCCCTGCTAGTTGCAATAACATATAGCCAAAGGTGTTCAAATTACTGTAACATGTGGAGGATCTAGAGATGTAACATGCTTCATCTCTTTCCTGTCATTCAAAGCTCATGCGTAGCCCTCTTTTCTCTACTTTGAATCCCCATCCCCTCTCTTCCCATCACAATGGCTTATACAGGGTGGTGCAGGGAAACAGGAAATTTTCGATTGACTTTCAATGCATGAATAAACACACTACAAAATACATTTTATGATGAAATGTATTGTACAGGATATGAAATTAATTATGGTAATCAGTATTCATTCAATATTCATTTTATGTCTTGAAGATAACATCATGAAGGTGTTGTCCATTTCTCCATACACATTCTGACAGCCTGTTGTGGAAATTCTGTATTGCTCGACATAGCATGTAAAGAGGAATGCCAGCCATTTCCTCTTCAATCCTCCTTTTTAGTTCAGCAATGGTTGCAGGACATGTGCAGTACACGTGGCTTTTAACATGTCCCCACAAAAACAAACAAAACAAAACAAACACAAAGCATGAGATCTGGGAATCGTGGAAGCCATGGAATGTCACCATTGTGTGAAATGACACACCTTCCAAACAATTGTTGAATTGCTGCTATCAATTGTTGGGCAGTGTCTCCATCCTGTTGAGACTGCTGAAGCAGCAGGTTTGAGTTCTGCACAATCTGCAATTTCTAGGGATGGAACTTCAACTTGTGCAGTATTGTTTGCATGCTTCATCATCCCAAATGTAGTGATGATACATGTTGTCGAAAGATCAGTGACGGCTCCTCACAATGGCAGCTTGAACAGCCTCAGTATTCTCTGGTGTGCGGACCGTTCAAGCACCACCTGGGGATTTCCTTTTCAAGGCTGAACTTGTTTCTTCTTCATCCATGTTGTAATCACATGAGCAGATGGGACACAATCATGATATCCTAACTGGTAATGATGGTGACATCCCCCTTGTGCAGCAATCACACTATCACCATTCTTATAAAAGGCTTTTACAGAGAATGCCCCTTGCGCACCACTACACTGCTCTCTTATAACTAATGACAAGGGGATCTAAACAAGGTCACACTCATTCCAAACAGTTGCTGACATCCCAGGGTTGCCAACTCTTAGTTCCAAAATTTTCTGTTTCCCTGGGCCACCATGTATAAACCCTGGCATTCAGTCGAGCTTTCTCTATCATGATTATGAAGCCAGGATTTGAAGTTCATTTTAGGTTAGTAGCCAAGCGGAATGCTTCTCTTGGTGTGCATCTGCCCATACACTGCAGTTGTCATGTGAGAAGCCCCTCCATATCCTTTCTCCTAAGGATATTCTGTGCTTAGTATTGGGAAGAGGGTCTCCTTGTGGAGTCCCAGGCATTTGATAACATACACATTTTAAAAGATTCTAGAATGTTTACTGTTGTTTGCGCAAACTTGTTTTATGTCCTTATATGTCCTTATATGAATAGGGTTTATATTACATTGTATAGTTTATTTTGAGGGTTTTACTCTCTGTACCACCCTAATGGCCAAAGAATTGACGCTTTTGAATTGTGGTGTTGGAGAAGACTCCTACGAGTCCCTTGGAGTGCAAAGAGATCAAATCCTAAAGGAAACAAACTCTGACTGTTCTTTAGAAGGACAGATACTGAAGCTGAAGGTCAACTATTTTGGCCACCTAATGAAAAGGAAGGACTTACTGGAAAAAAAAATGCAACTTTGATGCTGGGGACAATTGAAGCCAAAAGAAGAGAATGAGGTGGATGGATGCAGTCACTGATGCGGTGGGCATGAGGTTGGGTGGACTCTGGAAGACTGTGGAAGACAGGAGAGCCTGGTATGCTGTGGTCCATGGGGTTGCAGAGAGTCAGACATGACTTTGCAACTGAGCAAGAACAATCTCTCTAACCATCCACAGAGCTGTGGCCATTGAATGCTATATTAATAAATGAATGAATTCTACTTTATGTCAACCACAGTTAAGGCTGGTACTGATGTAAGCCTTAAATGTGGTTAAGTCCACTGGGCAGAATTCATGCTGTAGAAGGGAATATATGACCCTGTAGCATGTCTCCATCTTTGCATGGTTGATTCAGGAACAACCATGAACCTATCAGTGGAAAAAGAACCTTTTGTTTCATTTACCTTTTCTATCTATCTTTTGAATGGGCAGGATGAAATCCTCATGAGTGATTTTTCTTGGGGATTACCTTTTTCACACAGAATTCAAACACATCCTTACACATTTTATTCCAGGTGACAGGGCTTTGGCTTCCACATGAAACCATGTTGATGCTTCTTTGTTGCATGGCCTTCATTGTATTCTGCTTCTGCCTCTTTTTGCATACCTTTGCTTTCTTTGCATTCCACCAGAGCTTCTTACTTCTTTTCATTCAGTAGCACAACCCATTACTGCAGTGGCTCATGTCTCTTCCAGCTTTGGGGATATGCTGTCCTTCACACTGACTGCATTTGTGGAGCTGATGGATCATGGAATTGTATCCTGGGACACATTCTCTGTGGCTTTCATAAAAAAGGTATGTTTTTATCTGACATTAAGGGCCAAAGTAGGTAAGATGGCATCTGCCACATTTATTTGTATAAGTGTTGGCCCCATTCATGTGAAAAACAGGGAATTGAAGGGGGTGCTTGGAGAATTTTCTGTACTACTCTTGGAAGTAGCATGGAACTTTTGTGTACAAAGTATCATAGTTACTTGTTGATTACGATTGCATCTGACAGCTGCAATTGGGGCTATTTTCTTGGAATCTCTGTGTGGTATTTCTGAGATATGCTCCTGCTGCTAAGTATAAAGAACTATTGGTGGTTTTGGTAGCATAAAGGGAAGATTCAAGTTCTAATTTACATCCATGGCATGAAACTTTCTATATATCCTTCTGCATAAATAAACTCATAAGGATGCTGATGAGAATGCAATGAGAACTTCTAGCAATTTTCTTGTTCCTAAATCTTAGTAAAAGTAAGAGAGTGAGATTTAATTAAAGCTAACAATTCAACCACAACTAGCTATTGCTGGATTATGCCAACAATGATAGTATTTGAGAGAATTGCCATAATTTTATAAGTTAGCATATGATAAATTATGGATAATGCACTGCATGACCTTTTGTACATGCAGTAGGCATAGCCTGAAAGAAGTGGATTCTGGAATGTGGCCATGGAAAGTATAAAAAAGATAACTAAATTATAATTTCCTAACCATGTTAAAGATGGACACAAGTTATCAGACATTATTATCTTTGACTGAAATAGCATATCTGTTTAGCCATCCTACTAAAGAGGATGGTTGGGTGAAAATCTGTGAATATTGGTGTTAGGGTTGTTAAACGCTTATTAGCATTTAGTTCACAAGCTGGTAGACAGCGTACCTGTCTCTGCAAAGTGCAATTTAGTGATGCAGATGCAATGTTTGTCACCTTTAAGCATGGCTTTAACAGAAAAATGGAGGATCATGTATTTCCTTTCCACATACTGATTCCACCTTCCACTGTTACCCACAATTTGGTGTTACATATGTGCTGGCATTAATGTTTGACCCAAATGCGTATGTACTATTACCCTAGCATTTTTATATCCTGGATTTATCACAGCCAAATACTCCCACAAACTTACTTATTTTGCTAGAACATTTCCTTCTCATCCAACTACGTACTCATATAAGGAACCTGATTTGTTTATAGATAGCAAGTTATGTGAGCAAGTTTCCTACTGATATTGCTATATTGCAACGGTCACTAGCCATCTTGGAGTCGATGGTGCTGAATAGCCACGATCTATACCAGAAGGTGGCACAAGAGATAACGATTGGCCAGTTAATCCCACATCTTCAAGGGTGAGTAGCTTTGGGTATTGTCTTGGTTGTTTTATTTATGTGTGATCAAGTGGTTATCTATAATTGCTCTTTAAAATATTTTGCAAATTGACAAAATGTAATTAAAACTGATAGCATGAGCCAGGACTAAAGTTCTTAACAAAATTTGGCCTAAATCCAGGCCCAACATGAGTAAAAGGCAGGGTGCTGTTCCTAAAAAACATTGACAGCCTAGTTTATGTCACAGTTTCTTCCCTGGAGCAGCCCACCTGGTCTGATGCTTTTTCTCTGACTCTTTTTACTACTTATTCTCTTGCTGGCGATGTTCGCCCAAGAATCTCATCACATGTCACTCAGCAAGTCACTTATCCCCCATTTTAAAGTTTCTCCGAGGATATTGTTTGATTGAGGAAGTATGCCTCCTATGGGCTTGGACTATACAGTGAGATGCTGATATGTTAGGTTCTTGTTATTAAACCAAGGATGTTATCCTTTTAAAATGTTGCAGGTTTCCTGCCTCTTCCCGACGAATTGCATTTGCTGTTTAATTTACATTTCTTTTTCTTTTGCATAAAAATAACAACAATAAGACAAACCCCCCAACCATTTTATGATGCTTGACTTTCATATACTGTTCTTGTTTTACAATTGTATTCTGATGCAGGGCAGATCAAGAAATACAAACTTATACTATTGCAGTAATAAACGCACTTTTCCTCAAAGCACCTGATGATCGAAGGCAGGTAAGATGTTGCTATTAATTACCAGGGTGCTGATGCTTAAAGTATTAGGCAGGTCTATTTATAGTGCTCTCCTAGCACAGACAAGGTGACTCCATGGTATAAAAAAGACAAGAAATTGAGAACAGAAAGGACATGACAATTTAAGAGATGACATACATAGAGGGCTCACATAGAAGGGCTTAGTATGGAGTCCTGCAACACCATCACTCCTTGGAAACTGGCATGTGAGGGATAGGCATTCCTTAATATATATTGCAGTGAACTTCACTCGCTGAAATTCATCCAGTGGGCAAGGACATCCCTGGATAAGCCCAGATTTTTTTCTGCTGGATATGCCAATGCTTTCAACTTGAACCTCCTCCTTCTATTGCTTACTCTTTCCAATCGAACTAGGTATGGATTGAGTATCTGTCAGCTGTCCCAAAGCAGATGTGTTTGGATTCCAGCCAAAGCCATGCAGTGAATTTTAACATGTTCTTAAGCATATGTTTTCAACAGTTAAAGCTTGAACTATTCAATGTAAAATGTTGCAATGTCAAAGTTCAGATGTTCCACCCCACTGTACGAAATAAGTTTCTTCTAGTAAATCTGTAGTTCATTTTGTCACATGTATCTGAATGGCATTTTAATCTTTCTGACTGCCTTTCTTGTAATACCTGCCAAAAATAAAGAAAAGAAAACCTGCATTGGGCACTGCTGCCATTTATTCTTCCTGAACTCAGAATGCCACCCCCTTTTTGTCTTGCTTTTAGGAATAAAATAGAAAAATTGCACCTCTCTGGTAGTTTTACCTAATTCAAAATGTCCTTTTTTGCCTTGAATTACAAAATGATGGGTAGCTGTGTAGATTTCCACAGTAAGTGGATTTACTGTGAGGTTCCCCCCGCCCCACATTTTGTCATGCATGTGAGCAATAGCAAAGTAAATGTTTTGTTCTGTAAAATTGTTTGCCTCTGATTTGTATCATTTCTGCTTTAATAGATGCTTTCCCCCCAAAATAAAATTATTCCTTTTTTTTTTTTTTTTTTTTGGAAAATTAGGAAATGGCTAATATTTTAGCTCAGAAACAACTTCGGGGAATCATCTTGCAAGTGAGTACTACTTCATTCATTTTTCTGCGTCAGTTTGTGTTATAGTAACAGTTGCATATCCATCTTGCAAAATCAAAATAGAACCAATCTGTGTTTCTCTACTGTGACCTCATTGCATCATAAGCAGGAATCTGCCTATGCAATGTGTGAGCTGTCAAGCCCAAATGAGCTGAATAGTGCTGCTTGTGAACGCCTTTGTTTTTTGCTGTCCCGGATGAGCAGGCAGCAAAACCGGGTGGATTTATTGGCTGGTATGTTTGGTTCAGTGGATAACACATGCTAATAAAGAGAATAAAAAGGATAGAATGCAACGAAGAGCAAAACACTTGCATTAGAAAAGGGATCGCTAGATAAGTAAGACAACAATTACTTACATGGAATTCCAAATTGTTTAATTCATTTAAAGGAAAGAATTCTACAGCTTGTCAAAATTTGGTAATGGAAGATCAGAAAATTAACTGTCTTCCTTCTTCTTACCACCCTTCCAGTTTGAGAAGATCTATAGTACTGTTGAGCTTGGAAGCTCATTTCTGTCATATGAGAATTATTCCGCATTAGTAGGATAAGTTCAGGCATTTGTTAAAGCTGCAGCCTGCTGGTGCTGCAGTGAACTCTGGGATATGTATTCCCTCTATGCAAAATCAGCTGTAGCTTTACTCTGTGCTCAGGTTGAATTTACAGGATAATTTGGGACAAAAGTTGCTATCACTTCTGGGTGATTTGTTTCTCATGGTTTTCCCATGATGAAGCTTCTTCTGGGTAGCTTTGTCTGTTCAAATTAGCTGTTCTTAGAACAGCCTTCCCCAGCCTTGCACTGTCCAGAAGCATTGGACAATAATTTCCAGCAACCATGGCCAGCATGTCCAGGTTACACTGGCTGCAGAAGATGGCAGATGTAGTCAGGCTCAACCTTCAAGCTGATCTAGGGAAACCGTAGAAATCTAGCTTTTCCAGGAGACCCCTATCCAATATATTTGTGTAAATTCTTTTTGATTTAGAGCATTTTGGACTTGTCTATCCAGCAAAGTGAGCCTGAATTAATTTAATGAACTTGTTGCTAAAATATGAACAAGTTGCTAAAATAATTTCCATCAAATCTTTTCCCATTGTCAGTATGGTGTAGTGGTTAGAATGTTAGACTGGGCACTTGGGAGATCCAGTTTCTAGTCCCCACTCAGCCATGAAACTCACTGAGTGCCTTTAGGCCAGTCATTCACTCTCAGCCTAACCTACATCACAGGGTTGTTATTGTGAGGATAAGATGGAGCTATGTCAGTGGCTCTGGACTGCTCACAAGAGTAAAAAAGGCAGATATAAAGGCAATGTAATAATAATCCTAATAATCATAAAACACATTCATTGACATGCCATGAGAGCTTTTAATTTTAAAACTATTTCCTATGTACAGAATGAAATGGCATGTATTGATTCACTTTGCATGATCATAGAATCCATGGTTTCTTAACATGGGTTGTTTATGAGTACACACCTGCTTCTGCTTACCCAGAATAGTTCTTAGGTTGTTTTCAGTGATGTCCCAACTTGGAACCCTGGATTGTTGAGGGTACCAAATCATGGTTTGTTCTTAGATAAAATTCTGGGTTTCTCTCTCAACAACCCAGAATTTCACTTTTGGACATATGGAGCACAATGGAAATGGACAAGTGGTTTGCGATGCTTGTCCACTGACATGTCTATAAGAGAGGGACCGTGGGACAGTAGGATTTGCTGCCCTTGCATCAAGAACCTATTCTTTGAGTAGCATGGATAGACATACTCTTCAGCTCTGACAAACATTTTTAAGACACCCAATAAAATAGCCTTTTATAAAAGCAAAGTGCATTTATTGATATGATCAAATGCACACAGATATATGACAAAGTAATAGAAAAACTGCATTAATACCAGGCACTAATACAAAATGGAACTAGTTAAAAATTAAAGCACACCTTCCAACCTTAGCATCTTTCTCATATGAATATGCTTTTTTCACCATCTACCAATAGTAACACACCATTCCTTATATTTCCATGAAGAAGAATGGAACAAATCTCTGATAAAATGCATGTGGATAGAGGCTCTCCTGAACATTTTGCTTTTGCTGTTGTGGTTGTTTTCAGCATGTTATCAGAGCTCAGAGGGCCATCAATAATGAAATGGCACATCAGCTTTATGTCCTGCAAGTGCTCACTTTTAACCTACTGGAAGACCGAATGATGACCAAAATGGATCCTCAAGATCAGGTAAGCAGAACTTTGTAGCGCTATGTTATGGTACAGAAATAGGTACAGCATTTCAGATGGAATGGAAACTTATTTTATGTATGAAGGATAAATTGTGTGCAAGATTTTTGAGACCACAAAGGAAAGAATAGTGTGTAGTCCCTGTGTATCTCCAGAGTTAGGCCTCCTCTGTTTCATCCCCAGTTATGCTATCTCCCAAGGGCAGGCACATATTTCCCTTGCAGAGTCTCTGAACCAAAGCTGGGCCACAACTTGAAACTGTCTAGGAGCCACATGTAAGCTTTTGGAACTCCAGGCTTTTGGAACATGTAGAAATAAACAACAAAAATGTCAGTAAATACCACATACTTCATCAGTATGCACAAGTGCTAAGGATGCACAGACCAAACCAAACATTGAATAAATTGTACTTGCGTTTCCTTTTATACCCATGAAGGCAGGAAAGGGAGACAACTGGTAAATAAGTCATGTTTGTTACATTGCAATCATTTGTTCCCTAAAGCTGTAATCTTGACTGGTGGTACTGAAAACCTTCATCAACCTTTCATTATTGTTATTGCAGATATTCTGTAAGCACTATTATGCAGAAATAGAAGGGAGTTTTAAGTGAAGATAGCTTTTAAACATATAGAGGCAGTTCAGCAGCAGGAGTTCGTGCAGAATGTGGCAGCCAGATTAGTAACTGTAAGCCATAGGTCCAAATGTATAAGAACAGTTCTGGCTCTCCTGCATTTGTTTCCTTTATGGTTCTGGGCCTAATTCAATGTTCTGGTTTTAACCTATAAAGCTCTACATAGCTTGGAACCACAATACCTCTCCCAACTGCTACCCAGACACTATGCTCCACCTCTGGGGCCTTCCTCCAACTGGCAATCCCGCAGGAGGCATGGAGGATGATAACAGGGGGTAGGGCCTTTTTTCTGGTGGCCCCTCCATCTTTGGAACATCCTCCCTGTTGCAGCCCATCTGGTGACAAACTAGCCATCTATTTGGCCCCAGGTCAAAACAGCCCTTTATGTGTATGTGTTTAAAGATCACCTTGGTTATTCAGGGCCTGACAGGATTTTCCAGGTGATTATTTTCCTTTTCAGGGTCTTTTTTACTGTATTTTTTAAAAAAATCATTTTAATGTTGTTTTGTTTTTACAGTATTTGTATTATACTGTTTCTTTGTTGTGTTTTATATATTGTTGTAAACTGCCCACAGAGCTTTATCTATGAGGAAGTATAGAAATGAATGATGATGATGATGATATTTGAAACAAACCTAAATTGGCTATTAGATATTAGCATTACTACATTTATTTATTTTTTATTTATAGAGGATGTACATTGTTTTTGTTTTTTTCAAAGAGTTTTCAGAATCTTTGCCTACTGCAGTCTTGGATGAGTCACTTGTACTCAGCTATTTTTGCAAACTTACAATGTGTAAATGTTGATTAAAGTTATATGTATCACCTGCTCTATATCAGATGCTTCCCATAGCAATTTATAGGGTGCAACAGTGGTGATGCATATGCTTTTCACTGCAAAAGTTTGCCTCCAGTCCTGTCATTTCCAGGTAAGGTCTTCCTGAAAACCCAGGAGAGCCACCACCCATCGGTGTAGATGGTCCTGAGCCAAATGCATAAATGGTCTGAGCTGCAGTAAGACAGCTTCTGATCTTCCTATACTCTGTGACTTAGAAAGGTGGATTTCTGAAAAACCAGAAAGAACTAGTGCTTTGGGATGGCTTTTAAGAGAAAGCAAAAGTGTTGACTGGCATGGAAGAAGTGAGGGGCCTTCAAGGCCCATATGATATTTCAAAAAAGAGATGTCAGCATATAGCAATATGCAGGAAATTCCTGCAAAGAATGCAAAAAAATGAATCTACAATATTTTCAGTGCCAGAAAATTGCATGTTTTTCCAGGTTTTTATTATATCTAAGTTATTAAATTATATCCAAATAAAATAAAGACAGGTACTGATGCCACTTCTATTCAAAATGTCTCTTTTAAAAACTGTTTGTAATGTTTCTTCTCTTTGAAACCTTTTACAACCAGGCCCAGAGAGATATCATATTTGAACTACGAAGAATTGCTTTCGATGCAGAATCTGAACCCAACAATAGCAGCGGCAATGTTGAAAAACGCAAATCGATGTATACCCGTGATTACAAAAAACTTGGCTTTATTGTAAGTATTCCCACTGCTTTCTAGCATTTTTCTACTTCTTGCTCATGATTAAGTTGTGGCACAGATGGGTAGTGTCATGCTGATTTCACATATTTGGATGTGTGTCATATTTCTCCAAAATGCACAGAAACAAATTGGATATCATGTATAAGAATGTGCAAAACCTGCTCAGTTGTATCCAAGGAATTTTCCATATTGAGGTCTTGAATCACAATGAATCTTAAATCTCTGACTTTAGTAGGAACTGTGGACCTGAATTCTATATATTGGATAGGAATGCATGGGCTTTGTTAAATCCATCCTGTTGACATTTCACAGGTCGTCAGATGCCTTTTGTTCCTCCTCATTGAGAGAATCAGAATGTGCAGAAATACATTTGTATTCATTTGCACAAATTTGCACTCCTCAAAATGAGCAAATCCCCCTCAAATGAACAAATACCCTCCAAATTCTCATTTTCATGCTTTTAGTCTGGGGGGAGGGGAATGCAAATTTTCAGTTAAAGCTTTTTTTTAATGTGCATCATTTTCTATGACCAAATTTGCATAACATTACATTTGAATATGTATATACATACCTTTGAATGCCTATCACCATTCCTTACACAACTCTACAAATGCCTTGCAAAAAGCTTTGTACATTCATTGTCCCCTTAACCTTTTTCACCAGTGCTGAATAAACTGGGGAGAATCACACATAAATTGAGGGTAATTGTCTGTACCAACAGAACTAGAATAAGTTAGATGCAGATTTATGCTGGATCACCTGTACTGGAAGGAGTGAACATTCTTGGTCCCTCCTTCCCTTGGCAAATCCTCCAGCCCTCTGCAATGTGGGAGTGATGTTTTTTTATGTGGGAGTGATGAGGACAGCTGACTTACTTAATGAGAAGAAAGATGACAATTTGCACTCAGCACAGCATCTGCTGTACCATCTGCCATCCAAAGATTGGATTCTCTGGCCCTTAAAGGTAGTGTTGGAGATGCTCTTACCCTGGGAATGCAGTCAGTTTGCATTCCTACTTCCAAAGCACAATTATTTTTATTTGTGGGTCAAGCTGGCAGGATGTTCCTGATTTAGGATGTTTACTGATTTAGAGAGAGAGATTGCTGGGGGTGTGGCGGGGCGGGAGGAGAGGGAATGAGAGAGAAAGAAGGGCAATCTTTCTGAGCAAGCTTCCACACTTAGTTCCCACAGCACCCTCTGGTCTGCTGTCAGCTGCTACCTAGACAAATGCAGGAACAAATGGTCAGTTTCACTCTCCTGATCTCTGCTGGATACAGAGAAGCAGCAGTACAGGGAGAAGAAAAAAAATAAGAGAGTCCTACAAGGCATTGTACTCAGGGTCACTGGAATGCCTTTAATTCCCTGGAAACCCTGGAACTTTTCAGCTGCTCACTGAGAAGCTGCAGGATCATCTTCTCCAGGTAGCCTGCCCCTGTGATGGTGCTTAACCATGGTAAAAGGTGAGCTGTGGTGGATGGGGGTAAGGGGATCCCCAAAAGTCAGGTGGAGGTACCTTCCACATGTGGAGCCCTTCCTCTCAGGATGCCAGATCTTGGATCCAACTCAATAGCTGTGTTGAAAATCATATCTATCCAGTTACTGCAGCATATGGAGGTCAACACAAACCAGGCTATGTTTTGTTTATTTTCATTTTCAGTTTAATAAAAATGTTTATGTTCATTATTTCCAGTGTTTATGCTGATTTTTTTTTCAAATAGAAGCCCAACACAGCTAAGAATAACCAGGCAAGAGAAATACAATAATCTCATAAACAAAGACATCAATATGACATATTATGGATTACATCCAACATTGTGCTAAGCAGAAGAATTACAAGAACTGGAATTGTTCTGTTAGCGATTGCACAGCTACTATCAGGAACTACCACCAGAACTAGTGCAAGTACAACTAAGTAAAGTAATAATGCCTTGTACAAAGGCTTACAAAAACAGAATCCAAGCACTGGATTTGAGACTTGTGCAAGGATTGAAGCAGGGTTTCTGGGAGTGGCAGAAACTTTGTGCTGTGCTAGCAAAATAACCCAATCAGCTTCAACCCTTTACAAGAACTGGAAAATGTTATAATAATCAATGTAATTTGAATTTGGGGTTTAATGAAAAATTAATAATTAAATTAATAACATTTTAAAATAATGACAAGTCAGTCGGTACTTAATATAGCACTAACATCCCAGTATATCCCAAAAACCTTGATCCGCCATATCCCCCCAAATGCTCAGATCAAATGTCCTGGTAGAAGCTGGTGCATTCCAAAGACTATTCAATTTATTTCTCATCCCTTTTTCTCTTGTGTGTAGTGGCCTCTATATTGCAAGTGTGTGCATAGGGCTGTCTTGTTTTACTGAAGAGCAGGATAAAAATACTTGAAATAAACAATCAGTTCCATGCAGCTGATGACTTAGATATATTAGAAGCCATCAGCTGCATGAATCTGTTAAGACTCATACTTAAACCACATAATATGAAGGATAGGTTTTATAGCATCTGTTGCCGATCCAGATTTTTATGTATTTCAGCTTGTATATGTTTTCAGCTTTTTACTTTAGTACAATATAGGTGCTATTTATATACAATTGCATCTATTTGCTGTGTGAATCACTGCAGTGAAACTCTAGTGCATATTTTTATAACAGGACCCAGGTGTACTGTAACTATCACGGGAAGAATCTGACCAAACACACTTGAGAGCCCACTATCGGGCCTATGCTGTGGCGGTGAAGGCGGCGAAAAAGAAGTTTTTTTCCGCTTCCATTGCCTCCTCACAATGCCGTCCGGCGGAGCTTTTTCGAGTGGTGCAAGGCCTGGTTCGCCCGGGTCCTAAGGAAGATCTGATGCCACCCTCAAAGGCCCGCTGTGACGACTTTGCCAGGCATTTCAGGGAGAAAATCGCTCAGATTCGTCACGAGCTGGACTCCACTAATGAATCAGAGGTCTCTGAGGAGTCGCCAATGCTACCATCTGGTCCAAAATTATTGGAGGAATTTCAATTATTGCGGCCCGATGATGTGGACAAGGTGCTTGGACAAGTACGTCCCACCACTTGCCTACTGGATCCTTGCCCATCTTGGTTAATAAACAACGCCAAGCACGGGATTGGGACCTGGATCTTGGAAGTGGTTAACGCTTCTCTGAGGGAGGGTACCGAGTGCCTGCCCCTTTAAAGGAGGCGGTAATACGACCGGTCCTGAAGAAAGCGTCACTGGATCCAGAGATGGCCACTAACTATAGACCTGTGGCCAACATCCCGTTTCTGGGCAAGGTGTTGGAGCGAGTGGTGGCGGGACAACTCCAAGCACTCTTGGATGAAACTGATTATCTGGATCCTTTTCAGTCCGGCTTCAGACCCGGGTACAGTACTGAATCTGCCTTGGTCGTGCCCTGTACGATGACCTGTGCAGGGAGAAGGACAGGGGCAGTACATCCCTGTTGGTTCTTCTGGACCTCTCGGCGGCTTTCGATACCATCGACCATGGTATCCTTCTGGATAGGCTTGCGGGATTGGGGGTTGGAGGCACTGCTTTGCAGTGGTTCCGCTCCTATCTCAACGGTCAATTCCAGAAGGTAGTGCTGGGGGACCATGTCTCTACGTCATGGCAGTTATGCCATGGAGTACCACAGGGCTCCATTCTATCCCCTCTGCTATTTAACATCTATATGAAAGCGCTGGGAGAGGTCATCAGGAGGTGTGGGCTGTGGAATCATCAATACGCTGATGATACCCAGCTCTACCTCTCGTTTTCCACTAATCCAGGTGAGGCAGTGGCTGTGCTGAACCGGTGCTTGGCCGAGGTAATGGAATGGATGAGGGCCAATAAACTGAAACTCAACCCAGACAAGACGGAGGTCCTGTTGGTTGGCGGATCGGGTTTCGGAGAGGGTGGATTTGACCTGGTCCTGAATGGTGCAACACTCCCTCTTAGGGATAAGGTCCGCAGCTTAGGAGTACTCCTCGACCCGGAGCTTTCTTTGGAAGCTCAGGTGACAGCGGTGGTGAGGAACGCCTTCCTTCAGCTTCGGCTGATTAATCAGCTGCGCCCCTACCTGGAGTACGACTGCCTGGCGACGGTGACACACGCGCTGGTGACTTCGCGCCTAGACTTTTGTAACGCGCTTTACGTGGGGCTTCCCCTGAAGACAGTCCGAACACTTCAATTGGTGCAAAATAGAGCTGCCAGGTTGCTGACGGGGACGGGGCGTTATGCTCACATGACTCCAGTCCTCCGTCAGCTTCACTGGCTTCCCATTGAAGCCCGGGCCCAATTCAAGGTGTTGATTATGACCTATAAAGCCCTAAACGGCTTGGGTCCTGGCTACCTGAACGAGCGCTTACATCCGTATATGCCCGACCGCCCTTTGAGATCTGCGGGAGAGTCCCTTCTCCGGGAACCCTCCATGAAAGAAATTAGGAGAGTAAGTACTTGGAGGAGGGCTTTCTCTGCGGTGGCGCCCAACCTATGGAATTCACTCCCCAAAGAGGTCCGCCTGGCACCGTTGTTACTGGTTTTTCGGCGCCAGGTAAAGACCTTTTTATTTAAACATCATTTTAATTGTTAAAACATATGATCTGGCCAGGGCAACTTCTTCTTCCTTCTCTTTCTCCTCCTATATTTTTATTTACTTATTTTATACTGATAATTTTAATTTTATATTTGTAACTCAATGTATTTTTTGTATTTTTTATTTAATGGTAATTTATTATGTTCTATTGTATTTCAATGTATTTTATTGTGTTGTAAGCCGCCCCGAGGTTTCGGCAAGGGGCGGCATAGAAATGTAATAATAATAATAATAATAATAATAATAATAATAATAATAATAATATACCCTTTCCCCTATCCTGTTCTAGTGAATTAGGTTGATCTCAAGCTAATTTATTTCTAGTATTTTTACTCCCATTCTTCAGCCACTAAAAGATTGAGGAAGCAACTTACAAAGATGAGTTCTTTGTGCATGACAGATATGGGCCTGCATCTG